GATTGTAGAACGAGGAAATACTTACTTTACGACATATAAAGGAAAAAGCCAACAAAAAAGGGATAGGCGATAAAAACTTTTTTTTATTTTTATTATTTATGTGAGAGACTGGTACCAGTATTTCTTTCTAAAATATTTCTTTTTTTTTTTTTTTTTTTTTTTTTTAAAAAAAACGAGTGAGAGAAAAAAGAAAAAATGTAAAGGTGCTTATTAAACATTTATATATTTTTTGATCGCGTTGAATTTCTAAATTGGGGGTTGGCGATTTTTTAGCCCGAATTACGGCATTAAGTGATAGTCCTTGTGACAAATAATATGTGACAAATAAGAAATCACCGTTGGAAAGTCTCGTGATAGAACCCATCCCTTGGTCAGTTACGTCATTTAATACGCCAGCTACTAGGTTAGTCATAAGAACGTAAATGTATAATACAAGTATTGATATTCGAATATCGATCCTTCTTTTTTTTTTTGAAAATGAAGCTCCACAACCAAGCAAAGTTCCCATTCTATGCAAGGAGAGAGAGCCTTTGGGTTTCTATCTAATGCCAATAACGATCTGATCGATCAGATTTTTGATATTCGACGATCGTCTTTTTTTTCCATCATTCACGTGGTGAAAATTTTTGTTCCTCATATATCAATGCAAGTTTACGAGAAATCAACGATTAAGTAATCGATTTATACGAAGAGTAAGAAACAAAATATGAATTGTTTTGATGTAACTCAAATATTTCTATACGAGTGATTTGAACCCCAAATGCGAACATTATTTAATTATTTTGGAGATTTTTACATTGAGGAAACTTGAATGCAAAAACCTTATCTATCGTTTTCGTGCGATCCTCGTGAACATAAGCAGATACCATGCCATGAAAATGATGACTTACGACTCACAAAATCGAAAGAGTACCAATTATCTCTAACGACAAGAATTTTCTTGATTTGAAATAAATGGGATGTCAAATCCGTGAAACACGGCGTTATCAAATTATTAATTAAAAGGGCATCTTGGAAATAATTCACATCTTACTTTGGGAAATTAAAACTCCCTATATTAAATAAATCATTTGCTCTTCCTAAAATCAGGAGACTTCATATAAACAAAAAGATTTAAGTATTAGATTCTAATTGGCCGGATTATTTTGATGCATGATACATGTTTATTACACCAATAATCTATAACAAACAGTATTCGAATAGAATAATTAACTCGTTTGAAAAAATTAAAAAGTTATCACGATCAAAATTATTTCTTTAACGATCAAGCACAAAAGATTAGCATTCATTAATTAAACGCAGGAATGCATTCCAAAAATTTCGACGCACAAGAATGACCGCAGCAAAACGAAAACATAATAAAATGAGCGCCGTTTTATTCCAAAAAAAAAAAAAAAAAATTTTATCCTTCGTTGTTGCTTCCTGCGAAAACGACATTTTCACTTTCCTTTCCTTTACCCTCCCACTCAAGAATAAGTTCTTGTTGCGGATACGTTCATCAAACATCATTCCTTTAATACTAATATAAAATAAACATTTCTTTTCTCTCTTTTCGTAAAGTTCTGAATCACAACGACTGGAATTTCTTTAACCCCCTCCCCCTTCACAACTTCATTTCACCTTTAACATGAGATTTTTTAACATTTTATTCGCTTCATGCCTTATCCTCACGGCAATTGTCGTGACAAGTGCAATTGCATCAGTGAAAAGAGATTTATCACTTGAAAATGGTGGATGGTATTCCACCAAGGCCTCCGTCATGAAGGCTCGGTCAGTTGTTTCAGGTGGTTTTGTAAGACGTGGTGACAAGGAAAAACATCGTAACAAGAAAGATAAAAAACATGACAAAGATGTTGATATTAAAATTAAAAACAAATTCATAAATTCTCAAATGACTTTTTATGAAGGATCAGCTCTTCAAAATTCCGCTTGTTACGGTAGAAATGGATTGAGAAATTATGATGCCAATGAAAATGATATGATCGCTGCCATATTCATGAAACAACTTGAAATGTGCTTTAAATGTATTGAAGTTAGAAATCCTGCAAATGATAAATCAATCATTGTAAAATTCATAGATAAATGTGCGGATTGTCCACCTGAATCTGATAACATTGACTTAACCCCTACTGCCTTTAAATTGTTGGCAAATCTCGATTTGGGTAGAGTTGAAATCGAATGGCGTCCTTTAAAGGAATGTCCTGCAAAAGGAAGATGGCCAATTTTCGAGGAGATTGACAATTAAATGTACCTCGCACGTGATTCGTTCGACTTTATTTAATCCTGTATTTTATCGTTATCGTTATTAAATCACGATCTTTTGCATCATAAACACGCTTTCGAGACTTTCAATAAATAATTTTTTTATCATCCGAATATATGAATCCAATATTTCATTTTAAATTGAAACTTTTTTTGATCAAAAGTTTATTTTTTTTTTTTTTTGCAAAGATCATTGATTCTCTTGAATTATTTGCAAGAAAATCAAATTTTATTATTATTATATTATTTAATTAATTATTTAATTAATTACATGGAAGAAAACAATTTTTTTTTTTTAGCAAGAATCGATTATATAAGGAAATAAAAATATTAACGTGTCCAAATTTTTCTCGTAAACATCTAATACTAGTAATATGATTTTTCATCAGTCTTGTAGATTTCAAATAATCCGCCCACTCCCTTGCATGTTTCGTCCTTTTCGAGATAAACGACGGGGAAATATTTGTCATTTACATCCCAGTCACCGACAACGAAATCATGGTTTCCGGTTCCACATGTGGCCTAAAAAATTTCAAAGGTTTTTTTTTTTTTTTTAGAAAAAAGTCATGGAATAAAATTTCAAAAGACATAATATTTAATACTCACTTCACCCGTGTGAACAACTTTACCAGATCCTTTGCAAATAATCTTAATTTTAACGAGAGCTATATTTTATTCAAGTGGACTTTTGTTAGTATAATTAATAAATTAAGCGAACCAAACGATTTATAAAAAATAGTTACATTCGGTTGAAATAGAGAGAGACCACCAGCTGACGGATTGAGTGGAACCGATGGCCCATGGACCAGCGCCTGGACTTGTAACATGAATTTCTTGATGAGCAGAGGTGAATGATGCAATTAAAGCGATAGTAATAAACCAAAGGGTTAAAAAATTCTTCATTTTGATTAATTTGTAAAAAGAAAAAAAGTATTATTATCGTTAGTTGTTTTTGGGGAGTTTTTTTTTCGGTTTATTTCAGGTTGAAAAAAAAAAGAGGAAGGAAATTCTCGCTGTTTAAATATCCGTTTGCGTTTCGGAGTTTAAACACGTTTTTTTTTTTTAAAAAAAAAACCCCCCGGATTCTTTTCCTATTATCATGTTTTATTTTTTAGTTTTTCAAAGCCTCACTTGGGCGCTTTGCACTATAAAAAACAAAATAAATTTTATTTATATGTGAAAGATGATTTTTTTTTTTTTTAGTAAATAAGTCCAGATTTAAATAATTTGTTTTTAAAGTTTCCTTCCTTTCTAAACATTCAATTTGATGAATCGAAAACAATCCAACAAAGCCCAATATGGATGGAGTAGAAAACCGGTATGATATATAGTACATCATTAATTGTGATTAAACAATTTGATTATTTTGAAGAAAAAGGCTTAGAATAAAAAAAAGCGCATGTATTTATAAAATAAGTTTTTCCGAGGCTTTGTTAAATTAGTTACTTGTGGTGGCTTTTATGGCTTATAACGAACCTATCGCGATCAAATTAAATGACATATAATATTTATTAATTAAAAGTTTAGTTTTTGACGCTAAAAAAGAAAAATGTGACGATCTAACAAATATGGAACTATTTGTTATGAAAAAACCATACACATATATTTTTAAAGCATACTTACCAAACAAAAAAAAAAAACCTTACAATACATTGCTAACGGTACTGTTCAGGTTTGTGTAATACCCAATGTTCTTATGACACGATAAAAAAGGAAAGAAGGATCTTTTTATATGTAAAGTTCCTCGGAATTCAATCTAGGAAATTCAATAACTTTTTTTTTTTTTAAAAAAAAAAAAAAAAAGTGATCTTCTCGCTAATTTAAAAATTACAAACTCGTTGCTACGGAACTTTTTTTTTTTTTTTTTTTTTTTAGCACGAGATGGATTGTGAAAAAAACCTTGGCACATTGTTAGGAATATCATATATTTAATTGTATCTTAATTTTCGTAGCAAAAACCTCCAGCAAATATAATATTTGAATCATTTATGTACTTAACCTTTTTAAGCCATCAATTAAATACAGGTAAAAGGTTTTCTGAATGATTAGCACAGCCACGGTACGTGAAGTTTGATCTTATCCGTCATATCCTTTACGCCAATTATGGTATACTATTGTTGAGAAATTAAGATTCGGTTACAGCCCTGAAGCCTCGCTAAGCTTCTCCCTGTATTTAGAAATTATCCATTTTGTATCCTTTTAAAATAATAATTTCAAAAAGATGTTTCTAATATTTAGTGATCGATCTTCAATAGATCTTTTTTGATTTAATAAGGATTAAGTGTGATGAGCTTCACATCGAGATAAAGAACCGTCATAGGCGTCCGCCCGAAAAAAAAATGGTATCCGGCTACCATTTTTTTTTCCGGGCTATGTAAGTCTGGTGTGATTCTCTATTATTGAATGATCTACTTATGTGCTCATGGAGAGCCCAAAAGTAAATTTTTCGTTATTTTCGCTTTGGCCAAATACGATCAAAATCCTGCTTTCTTTCTTTTCCTTATAAGAAAAAATAAATTTTTTATTGTCCACGCGATTTATAATTAAAGAATGATTTTTTTTTTTAATTTTTTGAATCGATTTATGCGTTCATTAAAAGGTGTTCGTTCAAACGCGATATTTTAAACTTTTTTTGGCGTGGAGTTCAGCTCCACAATAAGCACATGAGTATCCATTAAGGTCCATATGGGACATGTCGAAAATGGGAGTGAGCAATTCGTTAAATGCCGTGAATGTAAATGAATCATATGTAGACATTAAAATTATAATCAAACCGAAATTATGGACGAAAATTGCTTATTTTACAAAATAAATTGTACTTTTTGATATAAAATAAAAATGAAGGCATTCCTTATTTATTTTTTCATCTGAATTGCAATATTTTCCATTACTTGACCGAAGGTACTAAAAAGTTTTTGAATAAATGTAGAATTGCCCACATATTAGAAGACACGTGATTCATTCTACAAAGTTTGAAAAGTCTAGGTTCCCAGTGCGACATAAAAAAATTTCACAAAAACATCAAATTCTCACAAAAAACATTATTTTAAACCCTTTTGTACATAAGCTTCTTTTTATTACATTACAATTATATAAGCAAAGAAATGGACAAACCCCATTTTTTTTATAAAAAAAAATTAAATATATTTA